ATATATAAGCCAGCTCAAAAATCTCATTAAAATTACCTTAAAATACAAAAGACCATTCCTTCTTAGTCCACCATATGGTGAGATGGGAGTACAATTTTCCAGTGACAGTTGAGAATATGTAGCATTCTATGTAATTTAACATCTGTTGGAAGGAAAGTAATCTTGAAAAAATTAGTAAACACATAAACCATAAAGAAAACTAGTTTGTACCATCAGTAGAGTTTCGATAATATCCAGTTAGCATGGCTACAGATGGAAACCTCTGTGTCTGCACACATATATACAAGAATATGCACTTCCAAATGTATTGTCCCACTGTGCCCACTTTTAAATACCATGATGTTTGATTGTAAATACTTATTCATAGCAATAACTAGTCAGTGTTATCTTTAAAGAAATCAATGAGTCAACTTCATTAAACAGGATATGGAAATGTAATACTTTCCACACACTAAAAGAAGATTAATGAACTGTTGAGGAGCTCCCTTCTGTTCTACCCAGCATATGTGTAGCTGCCAGATCAGGGAACAGCAGCTGACATACTTTCAGACATAGTAAATAGCTCTTAGGCTTTTCAAATAAAGTTATACTGTGCCTTGTATGAAGGCTAGAGCCTATATATTGAATAAATCATCAGAAGTGTATTCCAGTTCTTTTTAAGAGAGCACAGTAGCGCGCTCTATTTTTTATTGATTGCATTTGCAGAGGAAAATTGAATCCATTCCTTGTCAAGGCCCCTAAACCTCATGTCATAAGGAAGAGGGGAAAAAAGGAAAAGATGGATGGAGTGCAGTGGAATTAGCTGGAAAGAATGATGTTTCCTATTGTGTGATGATAAATTTTACTTTTTCATCTTGCCTATATCAAGTGAAAGGTAGCAGCTGAAGTACTTTGAAGTAGTGATCTTCAAAGACTTCTTTTAGCAGAATTGGAAATAAGATTGTTGGAGAGTTTTCTCCAACTAGATTTTCTGCCAATTATCAGTCAAAAGCTCTTTTCTGTGTGGAAGTTAACTCAAAAGGAAAGGTATTTGTAAGATATACAGCATCTCAGTAGGTGTGGCTATAATGCCTCTAAACAGTTCATTTCAGTAAAATGCTTTTTTTTTTTTTAATAACAGAAAAAGAAATGTAATTCTCACTATATTCCTGAAGTCAATATAAATCCATGTCTCTCAAATTAGGGTATTCTGACAGGTGCTATGGTCTCTACTATGTGCCAGTGAAAGCAGCACTGCATTGATTTTTATGTGCAAATTGGGAACCATGATATTTTAGTAGGAACCATTTGAAGAATAGTTTCGTTGCTGTTTACGAGCATTTGTGCTAGCTTTTCTTTGGTTAGCAAGTCTCAAATCCATTGCTTTAAGCTTTAAACCAGAATCTAGATATATTGGTTTGAAATTGCCCATTACCAGAGGAACTGCATTCAGGAAAAGAGTAGGGGACTTGATTTACCGCTTGCCTTTTGAAATCCAGGGTATATTCTTTAGCAGAAGCTAAAGAGTAATATAAGTTGTGGAAAAACACTTAGAGAAATAAATTACTGAAACTAAAATTCCCAGCACCCATTTCCTTATTTACCGATTACTGGGTTAGTTAAAACAAATGCGAGTGCATTCCATATAAGTGTACTCGTATAGAGAATGAAAAAAAAAAAAAAACTAAGAAAGAAAAATCCCTGAATGAAGGGAGCAAGTCTGAATTACAAATAGCAAACTGCTCCAGGAATGCTTGTTGTAATGATTGTGCAATCAGCTGCTCACACATCAGTCCCACCAGGTGAAATCTTGTCTGTCTGCTCCAAGCACCAATTGTTGTAGTCATAGTGAGAAAGTGAATTAAGACTAAGGTGGTGTATGTTGAAGTTACATGTGTGCTGTTAAAATTTATTTCTGAAATGAGATTCGGGCACTTAACTATGAATTTCTGGAGTGCAGGAAGATATGTTTTTCGGTAGCTGAGAACAGATGTGTTAGTAGCTTTTTCCCAGATTTATTTCATTTTGCTTCTGTTAGGATGCTCTGTTCTGGTTGCTCGTCTTGAATTCCACATTATTTATTTTTTTATATTCCGACTTCATATGTTGGGGTTTGGGTTTTTTCCCTTGCTGCAAGTTCTTGGATTTTTTTAGGTGTTGTATTTGTTGCTAGAAGAAAGTTGTAGAGAAGGAGGAGAAGGAAGGGAACATGGGATGTAAACAAGATCATAAAACTCTGATTCTAAAGCATCGCTTCTCCACAAGTATTACAAATAAGATCTAGCAAGCTATATGTCTTGCTTTATAGCCTATCACAAGAAGTCTAATAAATTTCTGATATTATTAGTTCCAATATATCCATTCAGTACTTCAGTACTTAGCTATTTCGCTATTTGTAGATTGTCTCCTTAGTTTCTCCTTTTTTTGTACATGTATGTATTTTAGATATGTATTTTTTTATATATGACTTTGTATGTGTAGAGGTGTGTGTAATCATAGAAGTTCATATGTATACATAAAACTGCAATACATTTTTGGGTGGTGTTGTACAGATACTCTTTGCAATAGTATTTGTAAATGTATAGCAATATGTTTAATATACCTTTATTGACTATAGTTTATTCATTTGTAAGCTTACTGTCTGAAGGAAATCCTCTCTTTAGAAATAAGGTATCACATTTCATATATGAAGAGTTTTTTTCGTGGGGTGGAGAGTTACCAATTTAGAAAAGTATTTATGAGCATGATTAACTTAAAAATAGTTTTTTCATGATTAAATGTTTTGCTGGATAGGGGTTTCAGTGGTCTGACCGGGCTGGTAAAGTCAGGTCATGAGGCGAAAAAAATGCATTGGTTTAAATTGTTATGGGGTTTGTTAATTCATAGAGGACTCAGAAACCTGAATGCTCTGCAGCTGGCAAAGAGGTGAGAATTATTGCCTCCCTTGTGCCTGAAGTAATTGTCCTAAGCTCCAGTGCCCTAAATGCCACCAGGAACCACTGGCGCAGGCATCCACTGGGCCAAGCACTCTGTGCATCAGATGAGAAAGCGGTCACATGAAAAATAAAAATTCAAGCATGAAAGGAATTTCTGGTCTAAGTAAAGAGAAGAGCTTCTAATGACTTCATGGAGCCACTTCTGGAAGTAAGATCTGAAACAGTCAAGTTTAGAAAGTCTGTACATAATGCTTAATTACATAGGGAATCAGACTGGTTCTAAAAGAGATGTTTCAACAGTAAACATTTTAAAATGATAATTAACTTCTCATGGTGCCTCAGGGAATTATTCCTTTTTCTCAAGTAAACATGTATATATTTATAATTATCTACTTGACAAAGATAGGTATATAATACAAGCTTGTTGCTTACAGGGAATCTCGTGAGTTGGAAATTTAATTTGATATTTCTGTAAAAAGCTGTATCTTAAGAGAGAAATACTATCTTAAAAATGCTCTGGAAAAACAGATAAACCTTTCTGCAAAACACATGATGTAGCAATTTTCTCCTTAACCTTTAAAAACAAGCTTATAAAATTTAGTGTTGTGATCTCATTTCTCTAGTACCTGTTAACAACCTCACTTTGGAAATGGGCTGTCAAATGTTCACTTTCAACCTGTCCTGATTGTTATTGTTTCTTTTTCTCATGGTAGCAGACTGCTAGAATGTAGACCTACATACCAAATTTTGTACTGTGATGCCACTGATGTGCCTTAAACGTGAACTGTTTTTATTTCAGCTTGACCTGCCCATTTGCAAGAGAAGTTGAATTTTCTTTCCTATGTGCAAGATCATAGCATAAACAGGATCTGTATTACAGTGTTAACCTTTGTAGGATTTATAGCTACATCTTCAGGCGTTTTCAAATGGTTTTTTTTCCCCTCTACTTCCCTTTCCAGTCTTGACTTGCTAGTCTCTGTGTTTCAATTTTAGAAACAGTACTTATGATTCCATTAGGCAGCATGAAAGGAAGAGTTAGTGAACAAACTAACAAAAAGCGCTTGCGCTTTCCAATCAACTGACTGTGTCCTATTGCCTAACATTATTAAGATTCTTTGGGGGAAATTAATGAGGTTTTTACAGCTGATTAAATGAGATGAAAAGCGTAATTTATCAGAAGTTATATCGTAAGGTGTTCTGTATCACAATAAAATGTCATTGACTACTGACTATAGTGAATTACTATTATGGCAGCAGTCTTCATCAGTTTTAGAGTAAGTGACCCAACATACCTTTTTTTCGGAAAAAAGGCAGAGAATGTGTTGATATATTACATACTTGATTGTTTGCATAATATATTTCATTGATTAAAACAAGCATCAGTACAGGACAACTTTATGAAGATGTTTCCGTATAACTGGCCACATAGTGCTTAGCTGAAATGTGAATTTCCTTGAATTTTAAGTTCATTGTGGAACTCATCCAACTCATAAATATTAACTTTCACACTGCTGATCTTTCTGTAAGGGATCACATCTATGAATATCAATATCTTGTTAGCATGCCGTAAGGAGTACTACTGTGCATGCAGTCTCACCTCAATGTTACAATTCAAATAACTCCTCATTATCTTTTTCCCATAAAATCCTCTACAGCATCCATTTGGAAAAGGACATCTTTGTTACCTTTCTAAGAGACTCACCTGCTTTTTTTGACATCATTCTAGTTGTTCTTGTTGCAGTGGGCTGCAATTAGTAGAAGCATCAACTTTATAAGCTTGCATTTATTTTTCTACAACTGGGAAGTGCAATTAGAATGATATCTCAGAAACAAAGTATTTGCAGAAGATGTTGGCTATGTGAATAAACCAACAGTCATTGCATACAAATAATGCAATTGAAAGAGCACGAGGAACTTCAAAGACAATTTCCAAGGAAGAAGAGTGTGTTTCTTTAAATTTACTTTGTTAATTACTTAAATGAAGTTTTATATACTTTCTGCAATAGTTCAGTTTGCTTTTTGTAGTCACTGCTGCTTGTGTTAGGATGTAGCTTTGTAATACCAAATTTGTTTTGTCTTTGACAGCTACGATAGTGTTAAATGAACTCAACTGGACTGCAGCGTTGGATGATGTATTCAAGCGGAACAGAGAAGAAGACCCCACCTTGTTATGGCAGGTTTTTGGCAGTGCAACTGGCCTCGCTAGGTATTACCCAGGTAAATGAAGTCCCCTAAAAGCTGTCCTATGCCGCGTATTGCCTTAAAAATATTCTGAATTATTTACAAGCAATAAAAGATAACTAAAAATTACTTTCTTACATAGATGCAGTTTCTGTATATCAGAAGTAACTCAAAGGCTGTGAAATTATTCTGGCATAAAGCTAGTATGAGGCGGAAGAAACAGAGGGTGAAATATGTAACTAGTATTTTTTATTGTAAGTGGAACAGAAGATGATGTCCTTTGAAAAGCTGAAGAGTTATATGCTATTTTGGTACTGTTTACTGTATGTTGTGTAAATAATTGGTTGAAGATTTGCCACTGAGATTTTTATACTTGTCTAGTTTTAAAAACAGTGACTCGGTGACTAGACAGATAATGTTATGGTTAAAGTCAGTGAAAATACAATTGCACCATGCTCTGTTTATGTCCTGCAGAATCCGTGATCTCTGACAATTATGTCTTTGCTATTAGAGCTAAGGTCAATGAATTATTTCACCTAGCATCTCTTCCACTTGTCGAAGAATCCTATTACTGGATCACACTAATTAATTTAAATAGATGTATGTTTTACTGAATTTAGACCACCAGTAGCCTTAATTTGATTTTTGATTTGTACTAGCTAGTGGAAAGGCTTGTTTTATGGCAAGGCATACTGCCAGTGCTGCTGCTGTTCTTGTTAAGTGATGCTGTTATCAGTGACAGAGTAATGTGTCCACTACACACAAGGCAATTGTGTGGAGTCTCTCGTCTCTTGCCTACAACTGTCTAAGGAAGAACTCTGAGATCCTCTCTCTTCTGTTTATACAAGGCTGGTTGTGTTTCTGAGGGTGAGGAGGATTATTCTAAAGCTGTTACTGTATCATTAGCACAGTTGCTAGCACAGGCAGAGAAACTGCCTTAGGCTAGTTTACAGCAAGGATGTTTCATAGCACTTGAATCCTGTTTGTTTTGTCATGCTAGATGCTCATGAAATAACTACAGTGAGATGTTGCAGAAAATATAATATAGAAAATGCTAATTTCATATTTCTTTTATTTCCAAGTGTTCCGTTTCAGTGCTTTTGGAATATATTAGCACTTGTGTTTGGGGTCACCATTTATCACCACTTGCTATGTTATGATGTTTTCCAAGTGCTGAAAAAGATGTGCTTCTTAAATGCATCTCTGCCAATCTTTAGGAAATTAATTCTCAAATGTAAGATTATGTTGTATATTGAAAAATATATTTTTATGTCTAGCTAACCTGTCTGCTCCAGTTGTTTATGAACACAACAGCCTCAGAATCTCTATGTATTCTTCATTAGAGCACCTCTATAAAATGGGAGAAGCTAGGTTTACCTGTTTTTCAGGTGGATATGTTGCTTGCATATACTCTGTCAAAACACAAATTTAAATTTAGTATAAAACTCAGATCCTCACACCTCCTGCTTTAAGTGCCAAAGTCCTTATTAGCTGTCTAGTCCTGTCAGAACTTGGCTTCATCAGTTCCTGGGTATTTCCCCAGTTCTTGAATTCTGCGCACACACACAGTAAGCTGGAGCAGTCCGACAGTCCTGAAGTTGTATGTGCATTGTTTTGTGCATCTTCTGCTTCCCACTTCCTTCCATTTATAGCTCAAATCGGCAAACCCTTTGGGTTTTAGACTTTTAGAACAAGTCTTTGCACAAGGTTGTCCATCTTTCTCTTTTTTTAAAGTCTTTATCTCAATTTGCTGACACGCACAAGCATTCTGAAAATGAAATCAAGTTGCAGATACTGGAATGGATGCTTTTCACATTTGTTTTTTGAAAATGATATTAAAAATCATAAAACATTGCTTCATTATATTTGCCTTAGGTAAGCCTGCTTCAAAGTGATTAATTTCTCCATAGTGATGACATTTGTGAAATAATTTGGAAGTATCAAACACCAAAATTAAAACGCATAGCGAAGTCTTCTCATTATTATCTGAAATATATCCACTCAGTCTTTCCTCCCTTAAACAAAATCGATCTCTGGTACCTCTGAGCTATAGAGGATGTCTTCAATCACAGGTTTCTTGAACTAATGTTTCTGTCTGATAGTATCCCACTGCCTTGAGTAATGGGTTAGGCGGTACAACACTTCTGTCCTAAGTAGGCTCTAAGGCGCTCCTTGTCACCATAGTAACCAGCAGCATGAAGAAATCTTTCTATGAGTGACCCCATGGGTGGAAAGCATGTGTGAAATACAAGATTATTCTTCTGTTGCATATATCCCCTTGTTTCCTACATATATTCTATTTTTTGTACCTTTGTACAATCCTCAAACATCACATATGTTTTCGTATAATTTTCAGCTGGGCTTTGTCTGCCTCTTTGGTACATTTGTGTTTTGTTGTCTCTATCAAGAGGACAAGACAACTTCCTTCTGTCTCTGACCTAGGCTGAGACACAGCATTTAGACCAGTTCCTTTCCTCAAACCTTCTTCTTTATACACTACAATTACGTGCAATAAAATAAGAATAGGAAACTCTATTTTATGAAAATAGCTAACAGCATCAGACAGAGGATGTCATGGTACCAAAGTATTCACTTCCTATAACGTTGTGATGTAATTAGTCCATCAAATGTTCCTTATGCAAAATGTCTTTTTTTTCTGAAGAGAAAACCACATTCTATGTAGTGTTACCTTTGGCTTCTTTTTTAGGAAGAAATAAATGTATAAGCCAGGCAGGCCAGACTTAGGAAGATATTTGCATAGATGGTTATATACAGATGTGCAAGAAAGCTAAGTATTAGAAATATACACATAAACATACATATATGTTGATATTTGCAGTGATAGCAGAACCAGTGCCAGGCATAACAGGGAACTGTATGGCTACTGCCTATGTTTACCTTACAAGATGCCCCAACAGAAACATTAGAGACTGCATTGAGGTCAGCTTCTCTCTTTATTGATTAATACATTGCTTGCTTCATTTTGTTTATTAACTGTTGTTCCCTAGAACATGATCAGTTCAGCTCACATTCTCAAACATCAAGACAGAAAAGGCAGAGAAGAGCCAAAGATGCTTGATTTTAAAAGTCAGTATCAGTCTCCTCATGCTGAACTTTTTCTTCTTTAAATTATTTAAGAAAGTGTGTCTTGCCTAAAATAATTTTGAAGATTAGTGAGGTACTTAGTATCAACATTTTCATTAGTTTCATTGGCAGCGTAGTTGTGAAGAGAAATGCTATGCTCTATTACTTTGCTGGCAACCACCCATTTTGATATGAAGATGCCAACAGCAATTTTGAGACTTCTATTAGCTATTCTATGAGTTCTGAACAACTCAAGAGTAAGTAAACAGTAGTTTAATAAAAGAGCTCAGAAGAACAAACAAATAAACTGAATGGAACTTTTAGGAAGGATATAACATATACTCATTCATACATTTGAAGTTATACATGACAAATTAGTCTTTCAAGAGATGGTTTCAGCATTGAAAGAATGCATTGTCCTTTTTACATAGATTTATGGAATTGTATCAGAATCGAGACAAGAATCACTATCTTCAGGTGATGAAGATACCTGATAAAATTTTTCATTTAAAAGGGAAGTATATAAGAGTGGTCAAGTGTACAAGTGGTCAGACACTGGAATAGGTTGCCCAGGGAGGTGGCTGAGTCACCATCCCTGGAAGTCAAAAAACGTGTAGATGTGGCACCTTGGGGTATGGTTTAGTAGGCATGGTGGTGTTGGGTGGATGGTTGGACTTGGTGATCTTAGAGGTCTTTTACAACCTATGATTCTATGATTCGAAGAGGTGGAAGCAAGGACAGGTGACCTGGAGGAATATAGAGACACTGTCCAAGCATGTAGAAACACAGTTAGAAAAGCCAAAGCTCACTTGGAGTTGGTTCTGGTGAGGAATATGAAGGATAACAAGAAGACCTTCTACAGGAATATAAGCAGCAAAAGTAAGGCTAAGGAAAGTATGGACTTGCTGCAGAACGTGGGTCTGCTGCTCCCTGCTGGGACAGAGGACTTGTTGATGAAAGGCATGGAAAAGGCCAAGGTACTCACTACCTCCTTTACCTCGGTCCTTACTCATAAGACCAACCCTTAGGAATTGCAGGCCTCTGCAATCAGGGGGAAATTCTGGAGCAAGGATGGCTTGCCCTCAGTGGAGGGGGATCAGGTTAAGCAACATTTAAAAAAACTGGACGTGCACAGGTCCTTGTGGCCTGATGGGATGAACCCATGAGTATTGAGAGGACTGATAGATGTCATTGCAAGACGGTCCTTGATTATCATTGAAAGATCATGGAAACCAGCAGAGGTTCCTGAGGTTCCTTCTTTCCTGAGGAAACAAGTGGCACTTCTGTCTTCAAGAAGGAGTATCTGTGGAACTATGAGGTGTCAGGCTGACCTTAGTCCCTGGGAAAGTGATGCAGCATGTCCTTCTGGAAAGTGTTTTGAAGTATAGCAAGGACAAGAAGGTGACTGCAAGTGGTCAGAGTGGGTGAAAGTGGAAATCACACTAGGTGAACCTGACAGCTGTGTGTGATGACAGACTTGGTGGATGGGGGAAGAGTAGTGGTGTTATTTGTCTTGACTTCAAGAGGAAGCCTTTTGTCACTGTTTCCTTTAACATCCTCATAGACAAACTGATAAAGTACAGCTTGGGTAAATGGGCAGTGAGGTGAACTGAAAACTCTCTGAACTGCTGGTGTCAAAGTGTTATGAGAAGTGGAATGAAGTCCAGCCAGAGGCCAGTCAAAAGTGATATACCCCAGGATTCTATAATGGGGCCAATGCTATTCAACATCTTCATTAGTGACCTGGATGATAAGACAGAGCTCACCCTCAGCAAGTCTGTAGATGGTACAAAACTGGCAGTGGGTGATACACAAGATGGTTGTACTGCCATTCAGAGGGACCTCAACAGGCTGGAGAACTGAGCTGACTGGAATCTCATGAAGTTCAACAAAGGGAAATGCAGAGTTTTGCATCTGGTAGAGGAAGAACTGCAGGCACCAATACCTGCAGG